GAGAAATTGCAAAAACGTAATAAATTAATCAATATTTACCAATTTGTTGCAAGTTTAATATTATCCAATAGTCAGAGGCTAACCTCTGAGTAGGCATAACAGATTTCTCATCTTTGTCTTTCCATAGCTCTACAGAAATATCTAAAGTATTAAAGTCCAAACTTGATGACGTAACATTGGTAGTAAAAGGTATCCACCAAGTTCCTGATCCATTTTCTATTTTTATCTTAACGTACGGCGGTTCTTTATCATATTGTTCTGTTACACTTAAAACAGGGTAATGGCTTTGACTTAGCCAAGGATATATTATCTCCGTTATGTTGTATGGTAGCATAGATTGTTCTTCATTGTGAACTGTTTGCATGGCATCCAAGAAATCATTCAGAGTAGCTGATCTAATTATAAAAAATTCATACAAAATTTAATCAAATTGATACAATACGTTATGAACAGAGAGCATATCAAGATAAGTAAAATTCAGGATAAGTATTCCTTTATTGCTTAATTGGTGCATGTGCGTGTTGCAATAAAAATGTAGAGAGCGAGAGAGAGAGAGAGAGAGGGGGGGAGGAAGAATTAATAAATATTAGTGGAACTGGTGATAAAGAAATGAAACATAAAAATAATAATCTATAAGAAACATTAAATAGAAAACGAGAAAGAAAAGTTAAGAGACGAAAAAGTTCATATATCAAATATTATTAAGTATAAAATAGAATAATATAAATATAAAGATAAACATAAAATAGAATCTAATCGAAATAATAAAATTATAAAAAATCATTCATATAAAAACAAGACTGAAAAAGAAAAACCGAATAAGTAATTATGAACGAGTAGAAAGAAAATAAAGAAAGAGATAAAAGAATTATGCACATTTCGAAGAAAGTGTAAATAATATATTAAATACAATTACAAACGTTTGTGAAAATAGTGATGATACGGATGAAAAGCAATACAATACTAGAAATATACTTACTGGGATTTTATATATTTATCGATACCTTTCCGAAATACGTTATCGCGCAGTATATGTTGTAACATGCGCAATATAGCAGGGGCTACAACAAACGACATTATGAAATTACAACAGATGTAGTTTAATAAATTTAATAACGGCATTCAAAATTATTAATTTAAATTAAATTTTATTTTGCATTTTATTCTTTATAGACTTTTTTCCATTACCTCACAACATTTAACATTTAGGTGAATTGAAGATGAATTGAGTTAAATTTAGCCTTATTCATTCGTTTAGAAGAATTACGTTTAAAAATTTCCTGATTATTATACAGTTAAAGTCTGCACTTTATATTACCTTTGATATAAGAGGATAAGAAAAACTGAGAATTAATATCAGAGGTATAATCGTATTCGAATATAAGAGGATTCATAATTCCTTCGTTGTCCAAACGGAGAGATTCTTGTAAAATTTGAACTACAAACAAATCCCATATGCGCAACTCTGGGTAAATCTAGAAATAAAAGTTTTTCTGATAATAAGAATAATCAATAAATATTTAATCTGGGAAAATATTCAAGAAACAAATGTTTTCTAGCAATGTGCAACAGCATCATTGTGTACTGCGAATTTGCTTATTTTGATATTTTTCAATTTTTAAAGGCAGTATTTTTTTACATTGCAGTACAAATATTTGAAAATGATTCCTGCAATTTCTTTCAATATACTTTTGAAAATTGCAATTTTTAATAAAATAATATATTGTAGATGTATAAAAAGTTAACCTTATTAATGCTATCAAATGCATACAGAACCGCAATACCCTCATTCAACCAAAAATAAGGCGACGATGGATTGGTGTTGGTTAAACGTTGGAGTGCTATTTTACGTCCGATTAAAAGTGATACTTCCATTTTGCGCCCAATATGATCTAATTCTTCATCATAAATAATATCTTGTTCTCTAAAAATCATTAAAGAATAATTAACACATGGCTTATATGTATACTCTTGGTTACCCTCTATCTTCTCTTCCAGGTTATTGTTTCCACAATTTTAATATATCGAAATTGGTTTTCTTTTTCCAATATTAATCAAGTAACAAGAATAAGAATAAAATATTGGATAAATCGAGTTTAATTTTTGCAGATAAGAGAAAAAGTCGTAACATACTGTCATTAGAAAAATACCAGTTTTGTAACAATTTATCAAATATGTGCATCAACTTAATTATAAATACTAATTATAAACTTTGATAACAATGATTCGGAACGTTTCGGTCATTGTATATGACCCTCTTCAGCCGCAAATTCATCAAATATGTAAATATTCATTGTCAGATCAGTCTTTTAGACATACAAATAAACGTTTGAGAAATAAAATAACGAGAACAAAGTACATAACGTCACCTATCTTATTCGTAGCGTGGTCAATTTTGTCGATCTTGTGGTTACAATTTTAAGATCAATTTCCATCGTTTATTTGTATGTCTAAAAGACTGATCTGACAATGAATATTTACATATTTGATGAATTTGTGGCTGAAGAGGGTCATATACAATGACCGAAACGTTCCGAACCATTGTTATCAAAGTTTATAATGTATCTTAAATTGTATTCAAACACTACAGATATATAATTTTATCACCTAAAACCAGGTGACGGCTCATATTGCCCTCCCCTTTCCCAATGACCAACATCAAATTGTGTTAGGACTATGTTAATATTGTTTTTCTCACTGAGCCTTTATATGATACTTTTTAATAGTTTAATAATATAATTAGAATTTTATATACAAAACACTTCCTCTGCTTATGTAACTCTCAATAATGTGAATATATTTGAGCCTAGTTTCTAGCGAAATGTCTGCAAAAAATGTTTGCAAAAATGTCTTCTATTTTGAGAGTAAAAATACTTTTACCTTTTATTAAATTCATATTTTACTGCGATTTCTAAGAATCCGTTTGACCATATAAGTACATTACCTGTAAAATACGAGTCTCGATTTTGCTATACCGTCATCTGCAAAACCTGGAATCGCGAAGTGGTCTTCTATCGGTAGCTGACTCCAATGTTTCCACTGAGTTTCAAAGTAACTCGTACTTTTTTCGATAATATAACTCGCGAAAGTTAGATCACGTTCTAGTAATGATCTGCCTTTCAAATGAGTATTAATAGTAGACAAATTGCAGAGCACTATACTTAGGAGATAAGTAGATATTACTGGGGTATCGAAAAAGTGTATTTGTTCGATGCTATTAGAGAGGCACTTGAAAGACTTAGTTGTATATTGTAGCGTATTAGAAAAAACCATGTAATTCGATTGGTGTTCGACAGTAATATCATATATAGTTTTGATATCTGGCTCGTCCCAGCATGGAAACGTTCTTCGTATTCCTGTAACCCAGGTGGGTGTTGCGAAAAACCATCTACGAATTTTATATCTCAATTCAGTATCTCAAATAAAGAGAAAATTTTTATGTATTTAATTAACATAAAAGTGCGACATAAAAGACAAAATGGAACAGGTTAGTAGAAAATGCATTGTGTACAGATACGATTACATTTTATGACTACACTGAGAAAAATTTTTGTCGGATGAACCAATTAACTAGTTTTTCCGATATTAATTTTTCCGATTTTGTTTTCCGATTAAATTATGGATACATCCGATGAAATTTAGCCGATAAAATGCAGTTACCGATGAAATTTGACTGAAAAACAGATCACATTTTTCATCGGATATATTCGTTTGTTATTATATAATTGGATTTTCCGATTATATTTAATCGGACATTTTTCTCAGTGTAAGAAACAATATCATATTGTCGTGTTTTCCGTGTTTCATAGTTATTTCACAACATCATTCTTATTATTCTATTACAGCATTCTATACGACAATGTTTAGTGACATTTCTACAGTATATATGTTAAAAAAATTAAAAAATTTTAATATTTCATTTATTATCTTCATTTGTTACTCATTGCTATCATGAATTCTTTATACTAAGGGTATTTTTACTAAATTTCTTATTACGTAGTGCATATGTAGATTAAATCTTTTTACGCCGATATAATAGCTTAAGTATAATTTTTTTATAATGTATGTGTAATAGTTTTAAGGTGTTATGTAATAGTATATGTGTAATAGTTTTAAGGTTTTAAACCTAGTTTTAAAGTTACTTACTTTTTCTCTTCATCTTGATTTGTATATGGAATCTTTAAGAAGCCACCCATGTTATCAGATATGCTGCCGGTAAATTCCATGTTGAGAATATAAAAACCAAGTGTTAATTTGGGATTAACATAAAGTTCAACCATTTTCTTTTCCGGTAAATATAAAATCTTAGTTACAACGTGCTTGATCCTTTCGGGAGTATTAGTATTGAAAACCACCGTTTCCGATTGAATTATGTTCAAATATACTGAATGCAATGCTATCATTGTTGTTGGTGTGACAATGTTAATCATGACATTTGATATACCTCTGTAGCTATTCTTTTCAATGTCTAATTTTAACAGAATCTTGTATTTTACAGGTTTTACATCGTTCGACAACGGGTATTTAATAAGTGCTTTAGTATTAAACATTTCTTGAGGCAAAGAAGGCGTAATAAATATTATAATGAGTATTAATTTTAACAATTCCATTTCTATAATTTGCTGGACAGGTCCAGCGGTGTTTGTAAAAATGCGCCTGGAAGAAAGAGAAGTAGGAAATGTTAAATAAACAATTAATATTTATAAGAAAAGAAAACATTTATATGACAATTTTTGGCGCATTTTGTAGACATTCGTGCAATTAAATTTATGATTTCGAGATGTTTTCGGGGTTCGTACGTCTTATCGCGATATTTTTCGTTTCGGCTAAATAACAGCATATATTGTTTATTCTCAATGTGGCTTTTCTTTGCTTCCCAGTCTAGTTTAAATGGTGCTGCTCTTACCATACAGATCTCGCGATACAGTAAAGACTTGTTCTGTAATTGTGTAACAATTTGAGATTTGTTACTCTGTCACCCCGTATAACGGGCAACTTCTTTTCGTTTTAACCTAATCTGCTTATCAAGTACATGTATACACATACACTCACACACACGCACGCACGCACGCATATATCTAATATGGATACTTTCATATATACTTTGTGTATTATAATACCGTGTCAGATTTATTTGGAATATATTATAATCTTAAAAATTCTAAAATTGATTTGATACTGAAAACTTACAATGATTCAGGTAAATTGAAATGATCTGCGAGTAATTCTCTTTCCAGAGTTACGAAGTGTCGATGCCAGAAGTCTAGCTGCAAAATCGACCTTTCCGTCTCAGGAGATTATATCGAACTAACGATAATGTTCACGGCCAAAACCACAATAAATAGTGTTGTGTTCTAAAGTCGATAAAGATGTTTTTCGATGGAGACGAATCATATTGTTATTACCGAGAGCCTGTGTCTGTTACTTATATTTCTGAACATACTACACGATTTTGCAACCAAGTATTTTATATTGTTTAATCTTCTTCCACATAAAATGATATTATTCCCACTTGTAATTTAATGAATCTTCTTAAACAAATGCTATTTTAAAGAAATTGAATTAATTTTTTATTTTCCTTATTTATTTTTCTAAACGTACTGGAATTAATTCGTATGTTTATCAAAATTTCAAACACTGTAGTCATGAAATAATAAAATTAATTTAAAATAAGGAATTTCTAGAAAAATAGATCTTAAGAAAAAAACATGTATTTAAAAGTTATGTTATATAATAATTAAATAGGTTTTCTTTAATTTAAAGATACAGGAATCAATCCCGTATCTAAAATATAGTGAACATACTTAAAGTGAGCTTCTAACTGTGCCCTCAGAAAGAGACAAAGCGGCACACTTTTAGCACCTTCGCTATACTTTAAGTACAAAATTGACCCCATGATGACAATTGCGAGACACGCGATGTAGTAATTTCAAACTCCTTTTATCAGGTTGCGCAAGTTGTACGAACTATTTACGTAATTTACGTAATTTTTCTTCAGTTTTGACGTCACAACGCGTAAAAGAAACGCTATCTTTGACGCAGGAAAAAATCAGGGACGGCTTCAGTCTCTCGTGGGCCCCATCCGCGATAGAGTTGGCACGTTTATGGCATTAAAAAGAAAGGAAAATGAAAATGGGACGCTTAGAGGGTTAACCTTCTATTCTTTTTACTTATGAGAACAATTGCACAACCGTAGGAAACATTATATCACGGTATATATTGATAACTAAACTTCCATTTTTATCTTATTAGAAGAAATGGTTTTCAATATATGCTACGTGTATCTCTGTTGGTGGAAAGTGGTAAGCAAACGCAATAAGATTTTTAAAAAAATATAGATACACGCCCAAGTAACGTAGGTAATCGTGATCTGACAAAGAATTTCCCATACAGCACAGAAAGTTAAAATAACCCAGACAGCATGCGTGTCTAAAAGAGATCTTTATGATGGCATTAAGTTGTCTTTTAGACATGTACGTCTAAAAAGTGTTTTAAAGATATCTTTATGACGTCTTTTAGACATGCATTGCTATCGGGGAATGTTGCTGAAACGTTGTAATGTTGAATGTTGAAGTATAAATAGCTTTTCTACGTTGAATCTAGATTAATGTTTATACATTAATTCTTTATTGCTGCAACGTTAAAACAATCTTGAACAAATTATTATTTGACACTCAAATAGATATTTACAAATATATAATTATGAAATGTATACATATATATACATATACATGTATGTGTATAATATTTTTACAGCGGTTAGAAATTTTCTGAGCTAAGATTGGATTATTATTTTAGTGGAATAATTTAATTTCAGCACTTCCAACAGTTGTAAAAAATATTCTGCTGAACGCGACCAATGTTAACTCAATATAATTTAACAATGTTTTCTGAATGTCGAATTGTAAAACGTTTACAAGACAATTACAATTCAGCGGACATTAGACGTTTCTGCAATATCTTTTCTACGTTGAATCTACATTTCGTAACATTGACGCAATATTGCAATGTTGTAATGGAACGTATCTGAGATGTTGATTCAACATAAGAATTGATTTGGAGTTCTCGTTTCCCAATTGATTAAGGGCCAGTTCCAATCTCTTGGTAAATCAGCCAACAGTTAAATCATACGTACGTCTTTGTTTTTCCTTTAAATCAGACAAAGATAGACACATACTTTAACAATTTAGCTTATCTATAAAACTGGCAAGCTTATCAAGAGATAGGGAAAACCGGCTCCAAGAGGTGATTTTTCCAACCTCTTGGTAAACTAACAAATAGTAAAATTATATGTCTATCTTTGTAGAATTCGAAGGAAAAACGAAGACATGTGCTTTAACTACTAGCTAACTTTCCGAAAGATTGGAACAACCGTCCCTAAAGCCTTGTGTCCACGATCCAAGAACTGTGTCCAAGTTCTAGCTCCGAGAAATATGTAGTCAATCAACCTGCATCTTGTACGGAAAATCTGCAAGTTGATTGGCTACACATTTCTCGGAACTAGAACTTGGACACAGTTCTTGGATCGTGGAAACAGGGCTTTAGTCCCAGTCTACAATAGATGATTTAAGCCCTAAGCTTTAAGAAATTGGCCAATCACGGTCAAGTATGAGAAGAATGCGCGACTGTGATTAGTCAATTTCTTAAGGCTTAGGGCTTAAATCTCTATTGTAGACTGGGACTTAGAGGAAAGTCCCATATTATGAGTCAGGCTCCTAATATGGGATAGAGGAGTTTTTACTAAATTAATAGGCGTCATCTGTTGGTTTCACCATGAATTTATTGCCCTCGAGGTGAAATCTGTTTAGTGGAAAATTAATTGTTAGATCGTGTAATCGTAGCGAAACAATATTTGTGATAGAATTTGGACGTCGGAAACCTGCCGTCTCATATTAGAATCCTATCTCATAATAGAGGTCTTTCCTCTATATCGTTCGACTTCTCGGGAATCGAACCAAGAGAATTCCTCCTGCACCCGAAAGAGCGCCCGCAATTGACGATGTAAAAGCGAATTCTCTTTCGGAACGGACGTGGACTGGATGGCCGACTCGTTTCATGACCCGGGAGTGGAAAAACAACGCCGGGGTATTTAAATCCCGAGGCCACGTGGCGCCGCGAGGGGCGGCGGGGTCACGCGCGAGCCGTGAATTTGAAAGCGGCTGTTTTCGAAACGCGCTGCCGCGACGTCGACGTCGCTGCGGTGTGGCGTGTGCAGCAGTGCCGCGGCGAGTGAAAAATGGCCGCGAACGCGAGAACAGGTGAGTGACAGCGTAACGCGGGCTGTCGTCCGTCGCCGCCGCCGCCCCGTGCGCCGACCACCTGGGGCTGGAGTAGACGGCGGCGTCCCTGTCCCGGAAACGCGACGTCCCCGAACGGTCCCGCCGCCGCGCGACATCTCCCGCTCGGCCGTTTCTCGCGATCGCCGAGTCTCCCGGCCGTGTCCGCGGCGGCGCGTCCAACTCCGACGCCTCTCGGCGAGATAAGGTCCGCCTGCGTCTCGCTTATCCTCGCGATATCCGCGTCGAGTGGGCGTGCGTCGCGGGTCGCGCGTACACGCATCCGTCCGTCAATCCATCTGTCACGCGACCACGCACTTTGTTTTGGAGAATTTTTCCTGCGCTCGCTCGCTTGCTCGCGCGCGCGCGCGTGTGTGCGCTCGCTTCGCTTGTGTGCGCGTGCGGTGCGCGCGCGCAAACGCGTGCGTACCAGCGTGTACGAGGAACCGATCGTGCGTCAGAGCCCAGCTGCCCAGTCGCCTGATCATTGTCGCCTGTCGTTGCTTTCAGACATGCGGATACCAACGCGCACGGCGCCTCGTCCCCCGGGCCAGAGCGCGACGCAGAGGGACCCGATCTGGAGCAGCAGGTAGGTCGCTCCGTCTCGCCAGGTTTATTCTCCGCGGCCCGCGCACTGCGTTACGCTCACCGTGCTCGGAGCGAGCGTATAATTGTCCAGAAGTGACACGTAAAAAGTTGGGCGGCGGAGAACAAACTTGTCACACATCCGACGCTGTCCGTGGGAAATTCTCTAGCTGGAGCTCCAGCTTCCGGAGTTTCCCCGGTCTCGTCGCAGCGACGCTGTACCTTCGCGTGCTTTCAGCAACGACATATTCGGGGGCGCCCTGACGACGCAACAGAAGAAGAAACCGCCCCCTCGACCACCGCCTCCAAAGTTTAGCTATAACCAGACGCAGTATCAAAAGGACCAGAAGCTGAAAAAGCCAGTAAGGATGTGCTTCGCGAAGCGTGACTGTAATTCCTCGCGCGTCTGTAGACGTGGTGATCTAACTGCTGTATTTTATTTCGCACGCCACAGGCCAGGCCAACAGAGCTGTTGACTAATTTCTTCGGGCGGAAGAAGCAGGAGTATCCCCTTCCACCGCGTCCCACCGGCCAAGTACAGAATCCGATAGCGCAGCCTTCAAATTCGATCGCGACGGTGTCGCTGATAGATCTCAGCCCGCCTGGGTCGCCGACGTTCACGACACGCTCCAGCGACGGTGTCAGTGTCGACAGTTTTGGCAGCGACGGAAACTCCAATCCGTCTGTGTTCACGAGTAGCGGGAACACATCGCAAACGGAAAGTGCCTTCGAGGATGATTTCGACTTCTTCGGCATGTCCGCCAGGAAGACGATGCAGAACGACCCGTGGCAGACGAAAGCAACAGCGCAGGACCCATTCGGACCGCTGGTGGACACCTGCGCGACAACCGTGCCTCAGGTCGCTGGCGGAACGTGCCTCTTCCCTTTCGGCTCCAACAATCGCGTAGCGAGCCACGTGCCTTCCAATCCGATCGCTTCTAAACTCGTCGTCACGTCGATGCCCACGATAATCCGAGCGAGACCGCCTAAACCTCCGGCACCAAAGATACCGTTTAAGAAACTCGAACCGATACCTAAGGAAATGTGTACCGACTTCGAAGTCTCGAGCAGCAGCGCGATGAATAAGTCACTGACGCTGCATTTCTCTAACGCGTGGCCCAACGACAGCGAGGGAAGCGACAGTCCATCGCCACCCATGCCGACGATTCCGCCGCCGGCACCGCCTGCCAATTATTTGGCAGAATTTAGCAGCAGTTTCGAAGTGGGTGCTGCACAGTTAAATGCGGCTTGTATTTAAAGAGAGATAAGGCGCGTTCGTTATAACAATGTTGGCAATTTACAGGGAGATTTCAATAAACCTCACGGTATCGCGCTGTATGACTTCACGGCAGCACATCCGGACGACTTAGCCTTGAAGGAGGGCGATATCGTGCAATTGTTGAAGAAGATCAACGACGACTGGATGGAGGGAAGAATAGGAAATCGTCAAGGGATTTTCCCGTTTAGTTTCATTGATATTAAAATACCTCTGCCAGGTTTATCGGACAACGTGGTCACAGCGCTCTACGCTTTTCCAGGAGAAAACAGCGACGACTTGTCGTTCGAGGTGAATCGAAGATTACGGTAAGGCAGTTGAGGGATCTATTATGTTCCTAACGTTACTCTGATGTTTCAGGAGGGCGCAAAAATTACAGTCATATCAAGGATATCAGAGGATTGGTTGTACGGCGAGTACAACGGTAGGAAGGGACAATTTCCAGTAAATTATGTAAATAGACTTCCGCGTAATATTTAAATGTTTTTCTCCATAAATATTTTATATCCAGTGTATTAACAATCTACTACTTGGAGAGCCTCCGTATTGCAAACATTATTTAGAATTATTAATTGCATCTTTACAAGTTAATACTAAGAACCGAGTGATAAAAGAAAGTGTAAAAGCAGATCTTCTATGATCTAATTTTGATGATGTACAAACCGCAGAAGAAAATTTTAGAAAAATTTTACCGACAGAAAGACTGAAGTACACATACGAATTTTTATCGTCGTGTTCCAATAGAGATAATCTTCAAAAATAATCGCGATACTATCTTTAGGAATTAGAAGATAACAATATCTGCGATATATTGGTGATATCTACACACAATTCGTTTAGTTTACTCTTTTTAAAAAGTTTTGCACCCTATACCGTTTGCAATATTTCGTAGAAGATGCCACTAAAGCGAACTACGTTTCTCATCTTGAGATTAAACTCGTTTGTAACATTTGAGAGCTTAATTTTTACTAAACGTCTTGTATATGCCTCTTCTAATTGTATGAAATCCTAATTATAAAATGTATGAAATGTATATTTCTACATTTCATAATTTATTTATTGTCTCGATTCAGAATCTATTTTAGACATTATATATAAGGACGTGGCAGACAGTGAGCAGGCATAAATTGAAGTCTGGCATATACAGAAGACAATTATTTAAACACATTGTGCTAATGTAAGATAAAAAAATAATAGATCTGTCAAGGTCTTCAAATTGTTAATATTGAATAACGAGTGAATAACTCATTTTGGTTTAGATATTTTCTTCCCATGTGTTATTTGAAGAATGCAATTTTCGATAGATTGCCGAATAATCAAATGAAAAATAATACAGTCTCCGCTAGATAAGTTCAATGATTTAGATACTCTCTCCTTAGATTTTTTTCTTAGTCAGATCTAGCACAAAAATCTAAAATCATAAGATTTTCGTTGTATATATTGTATTTGAGAATCTGCAATGCATCTTACATACGAAGTTAGAAAATTATTCGATATTATCTTCCTTATTTATGAGTTATAAATATAAATTAATTTTCTCAAGAATGCATCATAAAATTAGAGATGACTATTTCAGTGTACAAATAAATATGTCGAATGTCTATATCTCTGTATTATACGTACGTATTTTTCGTCTAACTTAGAGTTTATTTCAGCAAAAGTTACCAACATGGTACAGTTGTATGTGTACATTACCTGAATGCATAATTGGGCGAGAAGGAGGAGAGGCAATGGACGTAGTTTAGATAACTGTTGAGTTAATCTACTTTAGATGGATAATTATTATTGTATATATTATGTATACTTAATTATGTTCGTCTGCGAGTTGTGTAATTATGTTTGATAAAGTTCTAAACTTAATATGTGCATTGAAATTCGAATGTTTCGTGGTACACACACCGAGTCATTAGCTCAATCTTAGGAAAAAGGGAATCAACAGTGAGCTCTGTATATCATTCTAAGTTATTCCATATTGATTTAAAGAGAACGGTACAAAGATTCTAAATTGTACATTCTACTCCCGTACAGTTTTACTCGGAATTCTCGTTAGCACAGTATTAATACGATATCCCAGATTGCAACGAAGATCTGCATTGGGACCAGAATGTTAGTTCGTAAGATTAGGGAAGGTGTGGCGAGTGGTGATATGCAGAACGAAAAATTGAACGTTAGAGTCAGAGTGTAATAACGAGTCGTCTTTACATGTAATTAAACCGCTATTTAATTCTTAAGAATTACGCTGTTATGCAGAAGACGCCTAATACGCAATGTGATATTTTGCAATGTTTAACGTGTAAACATTTCATGTGTATACAAAATAAACTAGAAAAGAATAAATAAACTTTCCCCGAGCAAAACTTCCGCGCTCCCCGAGACATTGCCTTCGAATCGATCGAAAAGATACGACGTGTACGTATACAAAACAATCGAAAAAGAGATAATTATTTATCGCTTTGAGTCGAATGTATGTGCATCTTTTCTGCCGTAGCCGTAGAGGACCGGTATATGTGAGCTGTAACATAACGCTCCTATATCGAAGAGGGTTTTCCTTCCTGATGCACCGACGCTTTTGCAATTAGGTAACGTTGCTGTTTCTTTCGTTTGCGTTACTTCTTCCCATATTGAATTGTTTGTTTCGCATAACTGCCCTCGTCAACAACGCACCGCAAGATCGTAAATGTTTGTGACAATTACTCCACGTGTTGCATTTGAAGACGTTTCCGCGGCACGGCAGATACGTATCCGTGTAATTTTTCAGCGTTTGCGTCACGACACTTCTGAATTTCTTTCCTGTAAGGTAATACAGGAAAAAATTTATTGCGAAATTCCAGTGGTATATGTGAAAGCACAGGCCGTGGCACCACTTGAGTAACATCTTCTCCTGCAACCTGAAAAATAATATATCGCGGTTTAAAAGCAATATATTATAAGCAACATATTTTACTGTTTGCTATATAAAGTGTCATAGTAACAACTGTAATATAAATGATATTTATTACGCGTTAAAGGTGTCGAAAGCGAGGGAAGTAATTCGGAACAGTGTAATGACGCTACGAAGTATTCTTAGTGTCAATTTCTGTACATATTGTATATCGAACAACTTGGAAGATGTATTTTACCAGTGTATATATCTCTCGTTCTCCCCCGCATTAGCCGGATGTTTGATTAAAATCACGTCCCAGTAAAGTTCCAACGTTTCGACAATTCCCAGCGGCAGCAGCAAGATCAAATGCACTATCGAGACCGCGAGCAACGTCCTGCTCGAGTTGTGCGTTCGGTTGCTTCTGTACCTAAAATTATCTGAGGCGAGAATCGCCGTTATAAATCTCGTGCGTCAACCGTCGCGATGATGACTTACGAGTTAATTCGTTGTGGATCTTGTAAGACTTTCTCATGCGGGCGATTAGCAGCAGGTTGCCGATCGATATGAAAAGCAAGGGCAGCCACGTGGACAGGGCGATGTATAGGTACATGGCGCTGCCCCATGGCTTTATCTTCTCCTGGCACGGCACAAATTCGAAAACGCTGTCAGTCTCGTATCCTACAATTGACGTGAATTGTAATTCATTGACGAGAGGGAACTTGAAGACAATGGACACATGTGTAATCATCTCGTGACGCAATTGAATCGAGGGGGCAAAGACACACGGGGTGCCTGGTGGAAATATTTTGCTGAAATGTATTTGAAAGTCTCTCTCAATCGATGCGTTTTATTTTATCATCATTTCAGTAAAAATTTTGTGAAAAATCACTTAAACAATTCTTCATTAAAGAGTAATGTAGTTGAGTTCAGTAAATTTCAATGTCTAAAATCTTTTATATGTTAAAAAAATTCTTTTTCAACAGTATGCTTAAACTTTCTTCATATTTCGCAGTATTACGTTGAATTTAGGGAAAATTGCGATTCATTTTGAGATACATTCGGTAATTTTTTCAATATAACTTTCGTCATTTCATAGTCAATATTTTCAGCAAAGTACTTCCACGAGGGATGCGCGACATTTTACCGCCGGAGTAGAGCTTCGTCAAGGATATCACGAAGCTTATGCAGACTAGACTGGTGATGGTTGTAATCGCGGAGCGATTCTGGCAGTCGCGGGCCCCGAACGGAAACACCACGGCGATGACGCGCGTCCACGTGAGGGCGACGATCAGCCAGGTCGACGTGAATTGAAAGAGCTCCATGCTCACGGAATTCGCGCCGCACAAGAACTTGCTGTTCTGCAAGAAAAATTATCCTGAGCGTCGTGCGAAAATTTTGCGACCAGCATCCGTCCTGTTCCTAGCGTTCCGAGACTTGTCGCGACGACGAAATAAGCAGACTAGTTTATGCGGTTCCTGCCCGGCGACGTCTTGATAGAACTTTTATTATCGCAAGCGTATAACAATAGAATATTGCGTGAGATAGGATAGTGTCCTCGTGGTGGTGCGTTGCAAAGCCACCTAAAGTTTTGAATTACATTATGGGGAGAATTTTCCCTTAAAATTTATCCCGAAAATCGTGGGACAACATGGCACTTCGAAGAACTTTATGAGAGCTTTCTGAAATTTCGTTATACGTTAGCTAGTAAAATGTATGAAGTATAATGACTAGTAAAATATATGGTAAAATTTCAAAATAGTATAATAGACTCAATGTGTTGCGACGCAATACCATGAGGACATTGTCTTGTTTCATGTTACGCAATATTTTATTGTTATACACTTGCGATAATAAAAATTCTACCAAGACGTCGCCGGGCAGGAACCGTATGAGTACAATGGCTAGTAAAATATATGGTAAAATTTAAAAAAAAACTCGTAAAAACTCTTCGAAGTACCGTGTTGTTCCACGATTATATGATTCTCGGGATAAATTTTAAGAGAAAATTCTCCCCGTGTGGCTATGGTAAAAAGGACGCTTCTCTTTGTTATTTACTTACGTCGTTCAAATTCTATGTTAGACGGCGCTTTTTACAAGCAAATATAATATCAAGAGGCCCTTAAAAAATCAGACGCCGGCAGTCGACATGTTAATTGTGACTTCAAAATTGTAAGATCGACGATCAAGTCGTGTTTAGAGCAAATATATAATATCAAGAGGCCCTTAAAAAATCAGACGCCGGCAGTCGACGTGTTAATTGTGACTTCAAAATTGTACAATCGATGATCGAGTCGTGTTTCAGCGCCGATATACGATAAAGTAATATAGTCTTTTCTTCAAACAATTCCTTTCTTACTGTTGGTCTCGCCGATAGGCTCCTCAGATTTCGAGCATCACCAATTGTAAGATCTTCCTCGGTCCATGTCGAGATTCGCTCAGGGCCATCAATTGAGGAGGACCTTGGTCCAATTGGAAGGAATCGTTTGAGGAACAAATTGAAGTTACAGTTATCTCCATCAACGGGAGCCAACTAAATTGATTTTGCTCGTTTATTCCGCCGGAACGGACGGATTTTCTTGCCGCGGGAGGACCAGCGAGCACGCAACGAGGCAAAATCGGCCGCGGCACGCAGGAATATTTACCATGAAGAGGTCGTTCACGGACGTGGAGTGTGACTTTGCGACGCTGACGGCGTAATTGAATATTAACGCCCCATTGTCCGATATAGCGAGCGCGCTAAGATAAAGTGACAAATTGGAGTCACATAGCACAGGTGCGCTCAGCAGACTAAAAGATACAGCATTTAGCAATACACCTGCACCAAGTGGGTTACAACGTTGTATGAGAACAGTCGAGAATTGTACGGCGCGCGTCGCGACATCCCTTACCGAGTATTATGATGAACGGCGTTACGTAGCGGAGCAAGAAACGGACGGATCTGACGAACGGCCGCAACGACAGCCAGTACGAGCGCACCTCGCAGGGCCATTGCGCTTCTAGGTCGGACTGGGTAGAATTGCGAATAAAATCCAGAACTGTTATCGGCACGGGACACTTCGAAGCAGCCCTGAAATTCAAAAGAGGTCTACAATGATTCAACGTGCGCGTAGAGGAAAGAAATCAATCAAATCAAACATAACGAATAAGAAACATACTTCTTTTTTTATTTTACTTTCTAAAACTCAACTGCTTCAAATACTTATTTTACTTTTACTTCTTAAGACTCAATTGCTTCAACGTGTAAAATGTGAGGTAGTAGCTTTAACGTTACGGAACTTTTCTCTTACCTGGAGGAGGCGTTGTGCGTTGGGAAAATCTCGTTAGAATTCACTTGCAAGATACTCGCGACGAATATCAACGTTCGGATATTTCTGTTGCGTAGCAAAATCATCGTCACCGAACGCACGCGAGAATTGAGGGCTCGAATTCGTGTCTACTCCGATACTATGTCCGAGGAGGAATATTATCTGTCCTGTAGCACAGATACGACTAACAATGGGCTTCCTTAATTAGAAGCTGCAGAGCATCTGTTGTCGATTATCATAATGTGACGTATTCCAATTTCGAAGTAAGCAGTTTGATTGGACGTTGCTCCACTGGGAGTACATTAACATCGATATGAATACATATATTTATAATTTCTCTCTCTCTAATTATTCCATTCGATTTCGAACCTCGTGACCCCTTCTGTGGATCAGATATACATATAGGATCGATAATTTTACGCCATTCCGAATGGCTTTTTATAGAGAAGTGCTTAAGAGACTGCTGGTCAACTGCTTCTTTCCGAGATATTCGTATACGGACAGAATTCTTTCTTAAAATTTACCTGTAAATCATGTAATCGTGAGACAGCATGGCATTTCTAAGAATTTTACCAGTAAAATGTATAGTAAAATTTAAAAACCCTCATAAAATACTTCGAAATGCCAGGTCTCATAATTACATGATTTTCAAGGAAATCGGACAACATGGCATTTCGAAAAATTTTATAAGTTTTTGAAATTTTACTATACATTTTACCGGTCAAACGTATGGTAAAATTTTGAAAAACTCATAAAATTCTTGAAAATGTCATGTTGTCCCACGATTACATGTCGAGTAATGAGAAAAGTTTACTCTCGATTATATTAAAAACTAACAGTCTGCATTATTCCTTCCTCTACGTATACCTTTGCTAGTCGCTAAGGAATGTCGATTAACGGGGGCGCATTAAGCTTGAAATATGTACATTCGGCTGTTGTATAATACAATCGTATATTTTATTTTCAAACTGAAAAACAGTTAACACAGTTACACAAATTTACATGGCTAACAAACGGTGTGTATAAAAGATAATCGTAGCGGAAAACAATTAGTCGTCATATAGTAAATCGCGCGTTATGTCGACTGTTAAACCAAAAGCTTGAAACAATATATTTACGTATATCTCATGTCACATCTCACACTTTCGCACCTCAATGTTATGATACTCCGAGAGGATAGTCTGCATCCATTGTGAATTAATGATATGCTATTTCGATTCGTCGTGTAATCTCGTGCAACGATATCGCGAGCTTGGGTAATTATTTTATTATGCGCAATATGTATAGGAACCACTCTCATTCTATACAAATATATTTCTTAATATGTATTATTAACATATAATATTTACATTTATATGATTCACACAAATTCACGAGTAAAAGGCACATGTTTGAAACCACGATAGCTTGACAATAATTTCACTATTTAGCCGCTCTTGCACCGAGGATGCGTTGCAACTACAATTCGTCTATTGACTTGAACGTTAAAAGTGTTACGTAAATAAATGCTTTGGCAAGTTACGTCTAATGTAACTAATGTATTTAGTTTAGTGTAACGTGTAACATGATATGCGATGTTATGTAATTTACTCGTATTGATTTAATTTGTCGTCATCTTTCCGATATCCTCGTGGTACACGCAATTGGTATAAAAAAAAGTTATTCAATCCGGAACGTAAATTCAACAGCAAATTTATAGTTTCAAATTTCCCGATAATCATTACGATACTCATGTTTTCTCTTCTCAAAAATATCAAAAATATATTACTTTCCTGTGACGTTTTGCGATGTAATCGTCAATATAAATCTCGCTTCGCTGTATACATTCCCTTGCGGATTCGTCGTCTTATTTATAATATTATTACTCTTACGCCTTAACGTCAATATTTATCCGCACGCAAAAACGTTTCTTATTGAAAAAATATTTCCATTCCTTAGAGTGATATATTCAATCCTCTTCAAGTAATAATAATTGAACCAGATCTAAAAAGTAATTTCGAATAATTGGCTTCTCCCTGCGGTATACATCCGTTTGTTCTTACAATTCAGAATAAATACATGTTTATATGGGCATTCACGAGTGTACGATGCATCGAATGATATGAGCAAATCGAAGAATCTTTGTCGAGCGATGCTTTGATATCTTTCTCCGTTCAAACATGCACAATGTCAACCGAGCTTTTCTGCAAAGCAACGCGAATTGGAAAAATAGTCTCAGACTGTGGAAGCGTACTCGCTTAAAAGTGCATAATTTCCGAAGTGAGTTTCGTTATTAAATCAACCGTCCAAGGAAAGCGTAAAACATCAATCATAATCCATATCTACGTGTACTATGCAAACTATGTGTCGTCATGTGTATCGTAATCTAGATAGACTATTATCTACACAGACAATTTGCTTCTTTTTCTTCTCTTGAAAATAAACAGTTAGTTTTTATAATTATTTCCTTGTTACATTATCATATTATTCGTAATAATTAATATTACTTCTTGTCCTGGTATTTAAAATATTGATCTGTGCAGGATGAAAAACTCCAACGGAAAACAATTCTTTAACTTTTTTCTAACAGAATCTGCGTAGTTTATGATCTAAGCGAAGGAAAGACAATGCAAATTTTCGCATAGACAATATATGTATGCATATTATTAGCCATAGAGACTCAATTATTTTTTTTAGCATATGTAGCCTTGTAACTGTATATTAAAATATTAATAAATTAACAAATTAAGTGTATCTGTAATTGCATTATCTGCAAACTGAGCGTGGTTAACGTTACATGCATTTCTTCCGATGCTTGGTGTATGTATTTCAAGAGAGAACGATTAGACCGTATTTAAAGAAACGCGAGGAAAACGGAATAAAATCTATCTCCATTTGTCGGCACGTTAAGTAATTCTCATTCTTAGAAATACGCGAGAATTGTTTTTAAGCATAGTTTAGAACCATATTCTGCGCCCCCTCGCTTTGACCGATTCAACACAGCCTTAATTTTATTATACGCTACCAAGAGGATCGCGATAGCCGGTTTGGAAAGCACATACGCATGATTCCATTACACAGTGTATCTCGATTTCTATATATATATATATGTATGTATATATACTTAAATATTTGTTCAATGGATTGATTAAACGGATATTACATACAGAAATATCGATACTTCTGTCTGCCTATAGAGTTATCGGAAGAATAATAATCGTATAACAATTCGCCTGTACACACGTGTCCGAAAATATGACAATGTGATTTTTACGATCGCTCGTGACGCTTTTATTATATTCGACGTATTATCAACTATTCAACAGATCATCGGGAGTATAATCGTTCCACAATATATATTTTATTCATTGAAATGAGAATCTATATAAATAGATCTGTTTTGCTTTCATTTTCCTCAATGTATTAATGATAAATGGACTATGCCTACTGGTATTTATGATTGAAATCAGATATGGCAATATAGCACTCGTATTAATCTATGTATATGACACAGACGCCTCTAATGCAACGCTTGTTACTTTGACTTAATTACTCTATAGAATAAGTACAAATATTAGAGAAACAGAGTAAATCTGGTATTCTATAAAAGGCTTTAACGTGTAGAACCGCATGAGATAAAGCACGGGCGTTATGTGTAGCTGCTTGCGATACACATTCGAATTCAAAACTAGTCTTTTGTTCTCGATCACAGCCACTGAACAGCAACAGAAACACTTGCAGTATTTTCACATGCTTTTGCGTACTTTTCTACAACCATTTAATGTTTTGCGCTGGCGCCTGGGCGATGAGTGAATTTGCTCGATCTACTGTCCGTTAATGCGAAAGTAACGCGGAGTTGATAGCAGTCGCATTATCACACGTTTAGACGAGCTGTTAGTAGAGAAATGTCCGTGCGGAACGTTCAACTGTAATGCAAAATAGTGCCTACGCAACAAAATTCTTTTGTGAGAGACGTTCCGATATTTCAGTATCCTATCCCTGGTTTACACGAGAAACGGTACATTATTAATAAGAATAGAGTAAACAGTACTACGATAGCAGTGCCACTTAAGTAAATTAAAATGTATTATTATTCGAAAAATTATAATTTATTATGTGATAACGAAAACGTGCCCGCGCGTCAAATTTTCATCATTCTTCTAGGGTCACGCGAACACGAGATTATGCGACGGTGTACGCGATAAAAACTGATAATGCTTTTCATCGAGAAACAAAAATCAACGGGCTCATTCATGGCAGTCTTCTACAATATATTTCCCTGTGTCCCTTTGCACCCAATAATTACGCTGATGCTGTTCTACAGCTGTGTACTGTTTGCTCTATTACAGACTGGTGCGTTTCGCAAGTAAAATTTTCGTCTTGTCGGTATGTTTTACATTTATCAGCGATTATTATCTACAACTCTTCTAAAGACTACGTTCTTAATCACGCGTGACCACGCGCATTGGTGATGATTCGTGTTAAAATATCTCGTCAAATTTGTGGATGGTAAAGCTGCGCTTTACATATCATACTTTCTAATATCACCGTGGTAAGAAATTAACCTACAGATAAAATAAGTTTCTATGTATGTACACGTACGTATGTACAATATGAGCGCGCGCGCGTGTTGCATCACGCGCGATTAGACACATTGATTAGCGTGACTCATTTTGACGTTATTATTCGTACTTGAATACGTTCGTTGTACTGAATCAGATTAATTTCTTACCTGAAAGCTTAAATTCTAGTTGACGAGTAGATTACCAAACGAGGAACTCGGTAAAAAAAAAATAAAAACTTTATGCGCCAAATAACCTTCAAGTTGACGGCATTCCCTCACAGCGAAAACATAAAAAATAAAAAGAATGAGATTTTTTTTGCAACAACTGAATAAACCTAAAAATGAAAGCTGTCGAGTAGTTTCCAGCGCAAACAGTTTAAAAATATAATCGCATCTAGTGCACACAAACAAAGAATATTTCCGAGAAAATAATCAGCCGATTTGTATGCAATAGTTTTTTTTTTGTGTGAATTAATCGCGAAGAAATAGCGGCTGTCCTCTCCTCTCTGTAATCAAGACGTTATCTATTCTCCGTTATACGTTGAATTATTGTACTGTGCATTCCTACCCGTGATATTTACAAAAAATATGTATTACATAAGTACCAGAAAGTATCTATACGTCGTAGCGGCACTTTTATCTTCTCTGCATGTGTTGCACTGATTCTTTGCAAAACTCCGCATTGCTTAGTCGGGCCTATAGATCGGAATCTTCGGAATAAATTCAATCAAGAGAACCTGTAACGTCAGAGAAAAGGGAAACCAATCAATGTCATCGAAATTATACACACGTCAGGTACCTGTCGAGGGGTAAACCGTTGACCAAAATCATGTACACCAATGCCTACTAATGCACTAAAATTCGACAACAATGCCCAGTGGGCATTACTTTATCTTATATTGTTTCGTCTTATTTGATCTTTCCAGATTCTTTATAATGCTCCAGCAAGACCAAGTAAAACTCACTAATGCCCAAAAAAATGCCTAGTAGTGCCTACTAATGCCGCAAATCTGTACACCAGAATGCCCTCAGCAGTTTACCCCTCGATTTTTTCCCAGGAATGTAACAATCTCGTAGTGCCTTACATATTCCATCATGGAGGAGCTGTCGCATCTTTGCTTCGCCAACCTCCAATGTAAACCGAGTTTGTAGTAGAGCCTACTGTTCTCCCATTCTAACAATTTGTTTAACGAATGCTGAGTCTAGAAAGACAATACACGTTAATGCCTTGTACATAACATTAAAATCTAATTAGAGCTACTGAAATGTGTAACTTGCGTCATTCGCAAGACGTAAAACTTTGAAGTCGGATTACCTCCCTTCAATCGCTAGACTCACCCTCTTGCTCAGGCAAATGACAGGCCACAGGGAACATCCTAGGGTACAGCAACAGCATACACAACCGCAGAATAACCACTTAACGTTAACGGGTAAAGTCTTTTTCAATACACTGTTCACTCTCATAACAGTCGCCTTGAACTCCTCCGGAGCCACGCGGGACATGAGGCCGTTAGGAAACTCCGACTCGAAACGGTTGCTGAGACCGAATCTGAAAGAGAGAGCGCACAGATCAGTAACATTTTTTCCATGTGCCTCGCCGAGGGTATGTAGTGCCATTTAGCACTCGTAGCGCTTCGCGAGCATCGCTCATCCTTGTTGGACATTCGCTCGGCAACAAGGCCGAGACGTTTCCGAGAGCGCTAAGTGGAATTGTACCCCCGTGACGAGGCCTCGTCGTTGAGAATCTTTCGAATAAAGTGGAATGAAAATGTTTGCCCGCTACTGCCCGCAAGGTGAGCAACAATTTCATTATACAAGATTACAGGGATTGCTGAATATGCATGCATATTCGTCGTCGAGGGAAACAAAAAAAAATTCCGACGTCGAAACCGAGCTCGGACTCATTGCCGGGCAGAATATCGAGATTAACGAGATCAGATGGCTTTGTTTGCCTCTCTTCTTGTGGCAAGCGCAGTCCCCCCCTGCCCTTCCCACTCCGGGCTTCCAGACAACAAAGAGTCTCTCGGACGCGCGATTCTGAGCGGCGCTTCACAGGAAAGAGAGAGAGGGGGGGGGGGTAAAGAGAAAGAGAGACTTACACAGTCATGTTGCCAGCCCCGCGGATCACGATGGGGTCCGGTACCATCGCGACGTAGCGCTCCTCCAGGTGCTGCTCGTGCTCCTCCTCCTCCTCGTAGATCGCGTCGAAGTCCGCCATCGCGCTCCTCCCTCGGGCCCGCCGCCTGCCGTGGACGCGAGTCGCGCGTATATGCAGCCGCGTTTGAGCGACGACGACGACGACGACGACGACGACGAGGAAGACGACGGCGACGACAACAACGGCCGCCGCGACGTGTTGTGCGCGCGCGCGCGCGCCTCTTGTTCCCTTCGCGACTGGCCGGCCAGGTCGTCGTGGTTGCCGGTGGTGGTGGTCGTCGACGACGGCGACGACGACGTGCGGCGCTCTCGCGAGCGCGATCCTCTCGCTCACATCCCCGCCGCGATTCTCGCGACGGTGGGCTTCCGGCAAGTCGTCACGCTCGCTCCGTCGCGATTCTCGCGAACGACGAGCATCTCCGTCGTGGGACCGAGCTAGGCCAGCTGCTAGGCGCACTCTCGGCGGCGGCGACGACGACGACGACGGTTGCGATACCAGTCCACCGCCAGCGTTCGCGTGTACGTGTATAATGTCGCCACTCGCTCCACCGATCACCGATGCAGCACGACGCGCACTGCGGATACAGTACAGTCCGCTCGCTCTCACGGCTCAAGCTCAAGCTCAACGTCGATCTCTCCTCCCCGCCGCTGCGATTCCCAGGTCTGCCAACAATGGACGCGCCACAAGGGATGATGGTGTTGATGATGGTGTGAAATTGGTGCGACAAATCTCGCGCACGCGTGACAGCGCGCGTGCTAGCAGACGATATACTCTGTGGTCTCGATCGAGTATTTTTCAAGGCGAGATGGGACGTCGGTAAAGCAGCTCCCTTTGCGAGATCGAATCCATATACAATGCGGGATACCGACATTCAGTGCGGCAATTATAAAAGCTATACTTTCGAATTGCTTATACAGAATTAAAAATCCTTTCATATACTTGAAGTATATGTACAGAAATACATTGCAGGCTGGTCAATTTAAGACTAAAGACGAAGAACAATTATAATACATTTCTTGGTATTGCGCACGTATAACAGCTGTCAGTTGAAAGGAACGTTTGCTTGCAAGATTGGGAACGTTACCTTAAAAAAGTAACGCGTTACCATTACTTTTTGTAAAAAGTAACTCCCTACTGATTTTAAAAAGTAACGCGTTACCGTTACTGTTAAGCGTGGTCTACAATGGCAGTAGGAGTAGTGGATTAAAGAAGTAGGCGTTAGACATAGGCTGTAGGATTAAGGTCCCTTTACGCCCGAGTGTCTACAATGGCGTAGAATAAGGATTATAATGAGCCAATCAGTGTTAACCAATGTTATTACACAAATGTTACCGTTGTTGGTGAATATGGATGTGCGAAGAATTGGATTTGTGTTGTTTATATTATTATGGAGTCAGCTCTTGACTCTTCAATGGCGTATTATGCAAACGAAGAGATCTATTGGTCGGAGGTGGTGGGTTCGGCCTGTGAACAGGCGCAAACGAGATCAGGGTTTCAACTTTAACCTATTTCGTGAACTGTCAGTGGCTGAGAGTAAGGGAGTAGGTCGTACGAAATGGAATTGAACCATTTTGCTTACAGCCTTACTTTACGCCTACTACACCGGAAACACGAGCTTACTCCGACGTCTTACAGTCTTAATCCACTACTCCTACTGCCATTGTAGACCACGCTTTAGTCCCAGTCTACAATAGAGATTTAAGCCCTAAGCCTTAAGAAATTGACTAATCACAGTCGCGTATTCTACTCATACTTGACCGTGATTGGCCAATTTCTTAAAGCTTAGGGCTTAAATCATCTATTGTAGACTGGGACTTACTTAGAAAGTAACGATTCGTTACTTTTTCCGTTACTTTGTTGAATTTCCATAGAGACTTTCAAAAATTACCATAACTGATTAATTAAATTTTGTATTTTTAGTTTTCAGCTAATGGCTTCATTGAGGGACTAAAGATTTTATAGTTGGAAGCAAGCCTATCAATTTATTATAAATTCGCGGGATAACTGGAGAACGTTGACGTAACCGAGCATCGGTAATCAAGTCTGTGGTGCAGTAAAATACCGTGCGATGACAACAAGAGAGAAAAGTTGCAAATTATTCGCGTCTCTCGAAACTAATTATAGAAAATGTATACAAAGGACCGATACGTCAATAATAAATTAATTTAATTAACATAAAATAATCATCAACTGTGATTAACTTCGATTAACTGTTGCTTTGATTATGATATGAAATAATGGCCAATTCCCTTTTTCACGAGGTTAAGGAGCTAAATCTAAACAAGTGAATTTTAAGTAAGGTGTATATGTATATATAAATATATAAACATAATAAATAATTAATATTTTGAAAAAGTTATAAAGCAACTTAAATTAAGTTACTTCAGATCATAAACTCTTCCTTTTACTTCTTAAAAAGATTAGATCATTGTTATTTTTTAAAGCTTCACAATTGTAACAGTGATGTCAGCGGTGCACAAAAAGTTAACATGAATTCAATAGAACAGCACAGCCGCATTGAACACTCGGTAAGATAGAATAATGGAGTTTCAGAAGACACCACAGACAGACGTTAGATCATCAATGTTTAGTGACGCAAGTACTTGACGATTGAGGTATTTCTTGCTATAATATCGCTTTATGTAACGTTACATTGCACGAATTCCTCGAAATGCCTTCGGAACGAGAAGTTCCTCGGAAGTCTCTCGAGTAAATTACTTTTCCGTCATTTATAAAATAATAGAATCGTTATGCTAATAGGCGTGCCAAACTGGAAAGTGATTCGCAAAAAGGTTCATTTAAATAATTTAGTTTTTTTTATGCCAACTTCGAAGTTGGCGAAGAAAGCGAGGACTGGACGGGGCGCGTTGCGTAACGCGCCGTTCGCCAGAGAACAGACGGATCGGCACGATCGGATCGGCGTCGTGCGGTTTGTATGCACGCGAAATTGGACGGCGGCGAAGAAGCACGTCCGGTCTGGAGCCAAAGCGGCACGGAGGATCTCGGGTGGACGATAAACGATGAATCATCAGCATTACGCATCACGCATACGCGCGTTACGTCGCGCGGCCTGTCCGTGCGTGCAAAAATACTCCCGAGTCATTACGCGGTTTTAAGCGCGCGCATTTCAATCAGAGTGCAACGGCCGCTCGACTGGAAATCGCGGAACTGTCAGCGGCGCAATAGAATGATTGCCAATCAATTCGACACAACGGTTGAGATTAATAGAAACAACGACGCCTTTTCTCCAGGCGACGCACTAACTCGCCGCGCAATTCGCAATCAGGACGATGATTATTGTATGTAAATGACATGTAATTTGTCGCTGAATGAGCGCAGCGAAAAAAAAATTACTGAAGCTGCACTTTATACAACGGATCTTAATAAATAAAAAAGAAAAATACTTATCGGATTTTCTTGCTCGTGTACAAATTTTACTTGGAGCAACTTAAAAAATATTTCGAAAATATTAAATATCACTAACATGTATCCAGTCTATATTGTCATTGAAATAAAATTTTGACAACATTTAAAAATATTTAAACGGTATAACATTAATACACGTTTAAACGGTATCTCGTCTGTTGTCCGTGTATGCCGCTGATAAGTTTGGCAAGAAGAAACGTAAAGCATCGCGTACCTGACAATCGGTGAGAATAATCGATTATTTTTACGATCTATGGCGCAGAAGTGAAACAGCGTTAGGGCTAATGTATTTCTTCCACCTCGCGCAAACAGTTTCTCCGGTCCGTGTTATACTTGACTGACTATAATCATAAATAGCCGCGAGACGCGAAATTTTTCGTTAGTCCATTATGGATTCGTGGAGTGCAAAGACTTTCTTGTTTTTCCTGATTGTCTCGGCATTGCGTAGAAATGTTCAACCGCAGCCTCGAAATTTCAACAACAAAAGGATCGTTATTGATTTTCATAATGGTATCATTACGATCAATAATCAGCTCTCCGTGTCGAACAGTGAGTACAAACACGATAAAATTGAAGAAATCGGTAATAAATATTTGTTAGAATCATAGTAATACAATAACACAGTGCCATAAACGAATTTCGAGAACTTTCAATAGGTGAAGAAGTCATCGTGTAATTCATGTTTTATCAATGCTATTATGTTCAATGCAGATATCGGAGATCAAATTTCTTATATGCATTTTTATATATCAGTAAACATTTTTATTTCTATTGCTATTTGTATCCTCCTATCGAGGAAGACCCCACTGTTTTCTGTGAATATCTTTTTATCGTCGAAAAGCCAAGCAAATGGAGAGGATAGCCGGCGGAAGTTACGCGAATGAGGGCCAATTTCCGTTTATGGCTGTGGTGCATCGATTGATCGACGGTAGGAGAGTCGCTCAGTGCGGCGGTACCGTCATTTCGGAAAGATGGGTGCTAACCGCGGGTCACTGCATCGCCAAGTACCCGCGAAGGTTCTTCGTGATATTCGGAATCGTCGACAAGACCGGGATCGGCTACGACGTAAACCGGGGACCCGGACTCGCGATGATGACAACGCGGGCTCACGTGCATCCCAACTATTTCTTCAGCAAGAACGACATCGGATTGTTGGAGATGCCGCAAGATATTCCCTTCTCCGGTAAAAAGAAAGAGTTGGGCGCAAAATCAGATGCAGCCTGATAGACTTGTTTGCTACTTAAATAATGAATGTTCGATTCGTTTCAAGTAGCGCAAAATTAGTACAAAACTTCATATTTAGTTAGCAGCGCCACATTGTTTTTTCTCAAATGGCACGGGACATAAAATTATTTTTGATGGTAGAAAATAAGTATTAAATAATCCACTGGCTCACATTCGGTTCTGCTGATTTGGCCCTGCTAGTTTAAGAGAGTTAAAAAATTCGTCAATGCCTGATGGAGAACGCACGATTTTTGCGTTCCTTGACAGAGACACTCCAGAGACACATAAAGGAAAAAAATGTTAAATAATCCCAATCTCGAGTCACTCGTCTAATGCTCGTCGTGAAAATGTGAGATTATTTAATTTATTTATTACTGTGTTGCTAAAGATGCCGTAAATAGTAGAGCCGAAACGTACAATTTATAACTTGTATCGAATTGTTAATTAAATATTACATAACGTGAACGTACAACCGCGTTTGAGTCTCAAAGCTCACTTTTCCTTGGTACTCCTAAATAATAATAATAGGCTTTTAATTTCAATTTTTCGCGTTTTGACGAAATATTATAATTTTAGAAAAAATTCAACCGATAAACCTGGCTGGTCCAAAGGAGAGTAGAGTCATGGCCGACACGTTGGCCTATGTGGTTGGATGGGGTCGCGATGGCTTCGGTCCCAGAGGCACCAAAAGACTCAAGTACGCTCTAATGCCGTTAATTTCGAAACGCGAGTGCGTCTCGTACTGGAGAGTGGACCAGAGAAACATATGCACGGAACCGGGACTCGGGAAGAACGCGTGTCAGGTAACGCTTCGGATTTAATTTTGCCTCGAGGAAAGAAAAAGGATATTTTGACATTCGCCCTGATTCGCGCACGTTAAGGTCCTTCAGCGTGAGCGGATAATATTTCTAATATTTTCAACGCGCAATGTTACTTCTTGTAATTTGTTGCGCCTTAGGGCGACAGTGGGGGTCCTCTTTTTATAATGAGGGACGATCGAGCGCTGCAAATCGGTATCGTTAGCTACGGAGACGCAAACTGTCCGAGCGGTAGACCCGGAGTGTACACCAGAGTGGCGGCGTTTGCGGACTGGATCGGACGTGTCACCGGAATGGAATTCGAATAAATGCAACGTTGCGTGGATACCGTGTCATTCTATAACTGCGGAACCTGTCGATAACCACGAGTACACGTGTCATCCTGTCACTTTCTCAAAATTGCAGTTATCCCTCCCCTTCTCTCATCTCGGCTGCTTTTCTTTATTACTCACGTCCCCTTCTGTAAATGGCACGTTACTGCCCGAGTACATAACTTCCTTCCAAATTGCATTACTGTAAAAGTGCCACGTGTTCTATTAACTCGTAATTAAAACGGAAGATAATTGCAGACAATTTGTTTCATCCTCGATTCCGTTAAGCCTATCACACAATAGGAAAGCACAGGCAATAGGAATAGGGAATAGAAATAGGGAATAGAAATCTATGTAATGCCAAGACACAATGGTTCGTTGGCAATAGGCGTGCTGTCCAATCATCTGCATTTTAAAACCACGTGTCTGTCCCAGTCTCGACTGTGATTGGTCAGGTAGATCAGGCACAGGGAATAGAGAACAGAAATCCAACGCGTCGGATATTCTATTCCTATTGCCTATTCCATATTCCATTGTGCGTCGATGCACGGTTTCTGGTAAGTTGGAATTTAGTTATTTCTGTTGCCTGTGTTATTCCCTATTCCTATTCCCTGTGCTTTCCTATTGTGTGATAGGCTTTATTGTCTTCATTTTGATCGAGTTATCGTCCGCCAAGCGCTAACTGATCGCAGAATATAATTCTCTTTCCGAGCTACGATAAGGTAGATAACATTCGCGAAATTATCCATATTATCGACAGTGGCAACAACATTGACGATGTCATAATATAATAATGTAAAATGAATTAAAATAAAAATTTCACAATTGTCATTTAAAATGTCGTCAATGCGCTCTTTCGCGTAAAAAAAATCAAAATAAGAATTATCTTATCGATCGTTAATTTCACGCAGTTAATTCGCTTCCTGGATTCCGCGCACGATGGCGACATTGTCTCGATATTTAATTTGCACTTATCGAATGCGACATTGTGTAAAAATCAGATCATTACGTTAATTACTCAGTAAATATATTATATTGCGGGGTTGAGAAAAAGGTGTATACAAAAGAAAAATATAATTAGAGTACTAACATAATAAGATTCAGCTTGACCGTTGAAAGCATTGCTATTACTGTTATAGTTTCAGGTACTATTATTTAGTTTTGGGCAAAACTAAAGTCAGCACGAAAAATCAACGGATCGGGTCGGCGTGAACAATGATATTTCTGTGTTAGTATCATGTAAATTTTGCATCACTGTACAGTTAATTGCACACACATTATTCTTACACAAGCAGGCAATGTACAAGATGAAAATCATACGTCAATAACGAAGCAATGGCAAATTTCGCAAATCACTCCTTTCCGCGGATCGTCGTGTCCCATTATTCGGCAGCGTGCGCGAGGCAGAATGCATATAGGGGCTTCGAGCGTAACTCGTGGCTCCTTGGACGTGTACATAGTAATCACGGACGCTTCTCGGCACAGTTAAAATGTGATTAAAGCGGTCACGGATGAGAGCCGGCGCGATTACGGGCCCGATAAAAATCGCGGCGAAACAGAGGCGAGGAAAGGTGATGAGATGCGATTTATAATTGTCTGGTGCAAATGCAGAACGGAGAGCTGCTCCGTTGTGTCCTGTTTGGACGGCTATTACCGCAAAATCGTAGCGGAGATTCCTTCCTGAATTTAACCGCCTGCCTCGGCGACGATCCGGCGAGATTGCTGTCTCCCGAGTGCGAACTTTGCGACACGCGAAAACCATATTGACGAAGTATACTGCAAAACGCTAAATTATTAATCGCCGAGGGAAAAAATACCGATCGCATAATTGATACCGACGATCCTTGTTTAACACAACCATCTGTTGCACGATCTGTCGCCAAAGTTTGTCATTAGCTACACTTCGAGTGTAAATGCGTTTTTACATAAAGTAAAGTTCTTCGGTAATCTTCTTTTATTAGACTTTTAATCTTACAATTCGACGCTATTCATTGATCTAATCCGAATTGCAGACTGCTTTCGATTTGTGCAAATAGATTATGTAATTTGTACATAGAGTTGGGAAAGTTACTTTACAAAAGTATCTATTATAGTTACAGTTACAGGTACAGGTTTTTCACTAAAAATGTAACTAGTTACAATTACTCAAAAAGTAACGAATCGTTACTTTACAATTAACTTTTTTGCCATAAAAATAAAAATATCACATCTGCATTATGCAGATGAATTATGCAGTGTTGATAAAGGCGTTCGTGCGCAAAGGCACTTAGTGCGATCTGTGGAGGTTTAAAACATGTATAATGTAACTATTAAATTAGTTACTAGTTATGGAAAAAATGTAACTGAATTAAGTTACAGTTACAGATGGAGAGAAGTTAAGTTAGAGTTGCCAAAAAAAGTAACTGCAACTGTAACTTCGTTACAAGTAACGAGTTACCTTGTTTGTACACAAGCGAACGTTTCTTTGAACAGCTGTACGTGCAACACCAAGAAATATTAAAAATTTTTTGTTTGTGTTTATTCTTAAACTGACCGCCTGCAATGTATTTATGTACAATACTTCGGCTATATGAAAGGATTTTTAATTCTGTAAAGCCAATTCGTGGATAGCTGTGCCACAACTACACTGGTAGCCAGCATCTCCTGCTGGACAAACAGAGCAAAAAATAACTATAATCAAGCTTTTTAGTCGATATTAATCGGCCAGTGTTTTAATACAGAAAATTTATTGCGAAAAATATTACTTCAGCCAGGGTTTGAACCTGGACTTTCCTTCTCTCTAGGCGGGCGTCTCACCAATTCGACCACTGAGGCATGTGGTAATATTTATCGCAATAACAGTGTAAAGATGACATCTTCGCGCCTATTTTTCGAGTTTAAACTGCGCGCCGATTCGGGTTGTCGGCAGTAGACAGAACTGTCGATGCGCGATTTTAAATATCCCTGTCCCCTTCCCCCCTTCATGGACGCAATTGCTAAGTCCAAATCTTCTCGAGATTGATTGAGACACAACTTAAAGAGATTTCTATGTTAAAAAAATAATTGCCTGACTTTTTCACAAGTAGTTTCTTATCAAGAGAAACATTTTGTCAGTTGCGGAAAGCCTTTGGTTTCTTTTCGTCGTGACAATTTCAAAACAGCGTTGTATACAGCACGAATCGCACATCCTTCGACCGCGGACCACTTCGTGTTGCCACTTATTAGCAATTTGGGAAAATCGTAATTAGAACTTTATCCCGCGTTCCTGTCCCGAATTCCTTTAAACAACTCGGTATAATTTGCGATAATGCCGGGCGAGCGCAATTTAGCACGAGGGGTGGATCCACTTTTTCGATACAAAGGGTCGCGTTGCTTTGTGCTTGCAAAGAAGAAGTGTTTCAGTCGAACACTAGGTTAATTCCGATGATAATACGCGCGCTTTTGTGTACCGGCCGGCGTACCATATTTATACATTTTTACACGCCAATTTTACGGTCTGCTGAAGCGGCTGTGTATGGATGCAGTCCTGGCACTCCGACCATTCTTCAGCTCCTCTTTCACGTACGAATTCGTACGGGAAAAAAATGGAGTGCCGTGAGAATTCGCAAAATTATTTCCCGCTCTATTTCATTAATATATTATCGTTAATGGTGATTGATGCTCTTTCCTCATTGCGCCGCTAATGAGATTTACGAATTGCGTGGTTCGTATCATCCATGAATTATACCTGCTTGAAAATGCAGGCGGATCAACCGGCGCATTACGCGTTAAAAGATACGCGACGGTGCCGGTTAATAATATATGTAGGCGTGTGTTATATATAAACACGTTCCCGCGGCGAAAGTAGCCGGTCACGACTTAACATCGCTCATTAACCCTGCTAATAGCCTACATCATCAGGAAATCGGTTTCGTCTTAATCTTAACACCGTCTCTTCCGCGATACGCTTTTGTATCCTCGAATCAAATTATGTTTTCTCGGGAATAATTAAATCTGCGTTTGGATACTATCATTATTCGTCTTGTGCATTTACGATGCACAGCATCTAGAATTACTCGAGCTTTCTTTGTTCCAATAAATATTAGTTTCTACGTTTCTATCTTCCGCTTCAACAATAATAATAACTTCGTTTTAATTGCTAAGAATTAAATTTGCGTAAAAGAAACTATAAAAAATTTTATTCATTGAATGAAACTATAAAAATGTCCTTAAAATAATATTTATGGCACATTTTTAAAAAATGATAAACTCGCTTGGCGTGTACAGAAAACAATTATGAAATCGACATTATTTGTGAGTTTTTTTACATGAATATTATCTAGATTTCTAGAAAGTAGATTGAAATTTCAATTAAACACGCGCCAAATTCCGAGAGTTTTTAAAAATGGGACAGTGGGCATTTTGAACAGTTGCAATTCTAAATTTAGGATATCGACATCCTGAGATATATTCGACAAAGTTTCGGAGAGACGTGATTCGCGTCGGATCTCGGCGATTTGTCCTCTCGGTAATCTTAAGTCGAGCGACACTGTATTTTTGGCATTTAGAGCGGCCTCCTCAAACATCGACGCGACCGTCGGTTGATCCAAGCTTGTCGTGGATAAACACGTGAACATTTTATACGACGTCTTCCTTTTCCTACGCGTCGTAGAGGGGGTTAAAAAGACGGCGATTAGTCAAGCGAAATCGTCCATCGCGTCTGAACATACGAGGAACACATGCGACTTGAGTTACGCGGCACCTCTCGAAATAGAGAGAGAGGAAGAGGGGAGGAGAGAGAGGACAAGAGAGAGAGAGAGAGAGAGAGAGAGAGCGTAAGAGGGTAGCCCGGTGCACGGAGTGGAAGTCGACGAGACCGAAAGTACCGACTCGACATTCTTTTCGGCTAACCGCCTACTTAATTAAAACAACATTAAGCCGGCCGGCTTGCGCCGTGAACGACGCTGCCCATGGACCGTGTAACGGACAGACGAAACGAGAAAGAGTTGCCGCGGAACGCGGCAAGTGAGTGGGTGGAAGGGAGGGCGGTGGCGGAGCGGCTTTTAAATCTTTCGCGCCGCGACGTGCAGCTGCCGATGCGCGCCCCTCGCCGCCGCGCATCGCGACTCGTAAATCCCGTGCCGCTTATTAAATTAGCTATGTCCAATCGATTCGCGGGATTTTGTGGAATCGCAAATCCCAGGGGAGGATCGGGGCAAGCGGTAATGGCCGAATCAGACTAGCAATTGTCGACGCGGATTCGACTGGCGATTGGCGATTGTCTTCTAGCCAATGAGAGCAAAGCGGCCAGCGATTTAATCGACTCTCATTGGCCAGAGGACAATCGTCAATCGCCAATCCTGACCCAATCCGCATCGGCAATTGCTAGTCTGATTCGGCCTGAAGACAACTCCGCGGCGAGGAGCGTTTCTCCTAATGAGAATGTCACGGGGCGAGAAGCTTCGACTCTTTTTCTTTTTTTAATCGTTGCGATACCATCGGACTTATATACCGCGCGTCTCAAGCTGGGTGGCTCGCTAATTTACGCGCACCTGTCGACGGATTGAGCAACCGTGTCACATTCGTTATTGGAATCTGGCAACGTCTCGCCAATGTATCAGGACGCCTCTGCTGCTCGGTTGGTTGCCTATTAACGGTCGGCTATTAACAAACGCGTTGCCTGCTTAAATACTTTCGGAGATGTGCGAAATGCCGAGGAAAATGCGTGTAAAAATGACCGGGAAAGCGAGTTTAAATCACGTGCGTACGTATACGAGCTTCGAGAATTACCGCCGCGTCTGCGCGCAGTTTATTTATCATCTGGCGTACGTTCAAAGATTTC